TGATATGTTTTATAATTGCCTATTGTTTTTCTTAGAGCTACCGACTCTGGAAACTGTGTAAATCACACAATGGCTGTAATGTTCTGTTTGAAAGTCAATTTTCCTTATCTTAAGGTTAACCAGCTGATTTGATCAAGGAAACCCGTCTTTTCTTTACTTTCTGGTTTATACAAAAACAAAAGTCAATCCTAAAGCAGCATATGATCAGTATCTCATCCGGGCGAGAGGTGGAGGGTTGGGAAGGGCACAGAAACAAGCCAGCACTTTAATTCAGTTTTGTTAAATTTTTGTTGGTAACTTTAAAATACTTCCTGTCTGTTACCAAATTAGGGATGTGGCTTTTTCATTTAACTAACAGTTATTGAGTGTCTAGGAATATTAAGGTGATTAGGACATGAGGCTGGCCCCTAAGAGCTCAGTCTAAGGAGGAAGCTATTTCTAGCTCAGCATCCTACTATGGAATATGATAGGTATATTTGTTTCTTTAAGAGAAAGTAAAAAAACAAAACAAAACAAAAAAAACTGAGAAAGATGCAAGCTGAGAGAGGGCAATAAAGAATGAGGGCTCTTACCTGGCCCATGTGGCTCAGTGGTTGAGTGTGGACCTATGAACTAAGAGGTCATGGTTCGATTCCTGGTCAGGGTTTATGTCCGGGTTGCAGGCTCTATCCCCTTTAGTCCCCAGTAGGGGGCCTGCAGGAGGCAGCCAATACATGGTTCTCTCTTATCTCCCCCGCTCCCTATCTGAAATCAATAAAAATCCGGTCAAGGGCATGTACCTTGGTTGCAGGCACATCCCCAGTGGGAGGTGTGCAGGAGGCAGCTGATCGATGTTTCTCTCTCATAGATATTTCTACCTCTCTATCCTTCTTCCTTCCTCTGTAAAAAATCAATAAAATATTAAAAAAATTTTTTTTAAATATATTTTAAAGAAGAAGAAGAAGGAGGAGGAGGAGGAGGAGGAGGAGGAGAAAAAGAAAGAAAGAAGAAGTGGCTCCCCGAGGAGTGACTCAGGCAGACTGGGAAGGCCGCTTGCCCTGGGGCAAAACTTTCATAAAGGAAAAAAAGAATGAGGGCTCCAGAGAAATGTCTCTGAGGAAGGTGGAGTGGGCCCCTTAACAGGGTTTGATAGAATCTTCCAAGAGAGGGGTTGGATTGACAGGTCTTTAAAAAAGCAAGGAAAGAGATCTAATGGGAAAGTCCAGAAACTGTAGCTAGTCTGCCTTAGTCAGGCTCTGGCAGTAGGTATGTGAGAGGCAGAAAGGAGAGTGGGAGGATCTGTTAGTAGCCAGAGAAAAGAGGCCCCGTGCCCGACAGCATGGAGGACTTCTCTTTGCTTATTCTTTCTTCTAAAAGGCCATTTCCCTTATTTTAAATAAATTCTTTGAATAAAGAGACATTTACAAACATGAGCGCATGTCTAATATGTGAGAGCTTTGGTTTTCTTATCTGGAAAAAGCAATATTGAAGTTGCCTTTAGCAGTAAAATTGGACTGATCCCAAGATGAGTACAGCTGTCAGCTCCGATTAGTACACTGGGCCTGTTGACACTTGTGACAGCAAATGTACGTTGTAGGAGAGAGAGATAAAAAATAAGTTTTTCCCTCTCTCTGTTCCTCTTAAAATCTCAACCCAAAGTCACCTTGTAAGCATCATGCCTAGTTCTTATTCCAGTTTGCTTCCAGTTTTCCAAATGGACACAAATACTGTGAAAAGCAGAGAGAAGGTATTACTGCCTTCTAAGGGCTGTAATAGGGCTGACAAACTAAGACCAATAGCTTTCTCTAAGCCTACATAGTCATTTGAAGGAGGATGGAAAAGTAACTTGAAGGACTTTTTTTGTGACTAGATCAGGAGTAGGACTCAGAGACTACTTCAGTTGTTTTACCTTTAGAAACCTTTTCATTTAAAACTACACAAAAATAAACAGAAAACCCACTGTGTGTCTAGGAGCACCAGCAAGATTGTGGACAAGCATGTTTTGGTATTCTTAGACTTTTATAAGCGTGTGGGGAAAATTTTCTCCAGTTCCTTTTTGTTATTTATTTTTACTTCTCATCTTGATTTTACTTTCTGAACAGAAATTTCTGACAGAAATATTTGGGGTGGATATTACTAAATATTAAATGATTTATGTTGTCTCAATTGCAGTGATTAGATATGAGATGTTATTTCATCCATAATTCATCTTTTATAAAATGCACATTGAGATTTTTTTCATTTTCCTGGATTTATTTAATTCAGTAGAAGAACATAAAAGGGAAAATAATCACATTCAGATTCATGTCTTTTACGTAAAGAACCTGCAAAAGCAATTTTTTTTCAAATTCAAAGGACTAATGGGTAATATTTTGGTCTTGATGTGTTTGATGTTGCATGCATATAAGCATAACCAATAGACAAGACACTAGGGGGGTGAGGGCATGTGCCGGAGGTGGGACGGCTGTGGGAAGGTCAATGGGGATAAAAGGAAACATATGTACTACTATTTGTAATACTTTAAACAATAAAAAGATTTATGACCAAGACTACTAATACTATTACTATTATTAATACCAACATACAAAAAAATCTGGATGATACCAAATTCAAAAAGGCTCCAAAGCTGTGTTGTATGTTTGCAAACATTTGTAAGATTACGGTGACACAAGATTGCATTTCACCATAGGGACATATAGAAAAAGAGTAAATGATTTTCAGAAGATGGTGTTCCTGATCCTAGTTCTTTGTGCATTCTCACCAAAGCCTGACAGTCTCAGAGCATAAAAGGAATATACGAACAACAGCAAAGAATCAGTTCGATATTTAATACTTTATACGTTTTGTTTATTTACAATGTTAGTACTGACCTTGCGAATTGAAAAGAGCACATTAAGGAGCCAGTTTTGAGCGGTGGATTGAAAGAGATCTAATACACACAGAGGGGAAGCTTCAACATGAACAAATTGTGGCACATGATGGCCATCCCACTTCCTTGAGATTCATTATTACAACGGCCTTTGATCATTTTGCATCTGTGTATAGCATTTCTGCAGAGGGAATAGCAGTCTCAAATCTTTCTTAATAATTATAACAAAATGCTTTTGTATGTTTTTTAACAATATACTTATTTTAAAATAAAGTTGCTAAGGGATTTGCATTTTTTAAAAAAAGACAAAATCCTGTAACTATGGGTAGCTTAAGAGTGGACTCAAATGTAAGTTTATTGCCCTCTTGTGGCAATTTGTAAGAATGGCTGTTTTCTTTAAACATTTTGATGCAGCCTTTCAAAATTTTTGTTCTGTTGTTTCATAATGACTCAGTCCTAGTTGTAGGTTTTTATCAAGCATGTTCTGTATTATTGAAATTTATATAAATATAACAGAAAGGTAACAAGCCTCAAGCAAAGCAAATAAAAACACACATGCCTTTTATTTGTTAAAGAACTTTTAATAATAGCATATTATAATATAGGAGACCAGAATCTTGCAGATATAGATGGTGTGAGACTCTGCTTTCTTTATACTGTATATCATGCTGTTTAAACTCAGTAAAAATATTTGGTTTTCACATTAGATATTAACCTAATGCAAGAGGAAATAACACCCAGTACCAGTTAAGCAAAACAATCTGCTTGCAACTTAATCAGTATTGCCATGTGAACTTTGGTAAAGAGAATGGTTTTAAGTAACTTTCTCCATGGATCTGGCCAAGTCCCATCAAGGGCAAAAAGAATGTTTACTGCCATATTTGTTCTACTGTTTCGAAAAGGCTCACCCCCGCTGATTCCTTAGGCCTGGATGGCCAGTAATATATTACAAATGGCATCTGTTTAGCTTTAAATTCCAAATACAATGTCATCTGAATTCAGAAAGTGCACTCTTGTTTGAAAACCTTACAGATGTGAGAATAGCAGTTCTAAGGGTCTATGAGAGTTGAGGACATGTGGAAGATGTTAAGGCAGGAATGAAAGGAGCTGGGTAGTGGCAGAGCCCATTTCCCTAAGCCATCAGAGAGACAAATACTGTTCCCTGTTTAACAGCTTGGATGTCTTGCAGGCATTGCACTGAAGAATGACTGCAGACGATGACAGCTTCACCCCTGTTAGATGCCTGAATAATATGAACATTCCTTCAGCCCATAAGGGGCTTGATCTCAGTAGAAGGACCATGTTCCACTAAAAGGAGTGACTCTCAGCATCTCTCTGAGTGGGAGTTATGGCCATCTGCAGCTTAAAATGCCCTCCACCTCATTTCTCAATTGGCTGGCAGCCATCTCCAGTCTAAGAAGTCCAACACTGAACTCCATACTTGTGCCTTGCTCCCTGCATCCTGCTTCCTTCCTTGTTGCCAACCCCATTCTGTGCTTCTGACAGCTTTTTTCACCTTATTAAATGGCAATTCCATTTGCCCAGTTACTCAGGTCAAAACCTTCATGTCCTCACTGACAGGACTCTTTCCTCCATACTTCATCTGAAGTCATTAACAAATCCCATTGGTTCTACTTTTGAAAAATAGCCAGAATTTGTGCAGTTCTTCCTATTTGCATTATTACCACCATGATCTAAGCTACCATTTTCTTTCACCCGGGTTATTGTAATACTTTCCTCATTTCTATCCTTGCCATCCTGAAGATTACTGTTGCACAGCTTTTGAAGCAATTATTTGGAAATTGAAGGGGAGATTGTGTTTCCCCTCTGCCTAGAACCCTGCAGTGGCTCCTCATCTCTCTCAGAGTGAAAGCCAAGGCCCCAAGGGCCTACCTACCCCTCGGCCTCATTTTACAGACCTCACCCAGTCTACGCCAGCCACACTGCATCCTCCATATTCCTGAACACACCAACATCCTCTTAGGGCTTGATTCTGAAGTGCTGTCTGTGCAGATATCCTTATGGCTCTCCCCATCACTTCTTTCAGGCCTGTGCTTAAATGCGTCTTCTCTGTGAAGCCTTGCTCTGACCCTCTGTGTAAATTAGCCATCTTCTGTCTTTGGTTTCTATCTCCAATCACCTGGCACCAGTTATTGCTCTTACCCTGCTTTAGTTTCCTCCCTAGAATTTGCCACCTGTCATATATATTTAGTTGTGATTATATATCTTCTATGTCCTCCCTAGAATGCACGTGAGCACCATGAGGGCAGAGAAGGGGTCTGTTTTGTTTAGTACTCTATCCTCAGCACCTAGAACAGTGCATTGCACGTGCTTTCTAAATGTTGTTCAATGAATGAATGATAATGAAGGTAGGTAAGCAGCTCCGGAACCAATCTGCCTGGGCTCTATTCCTGCCTCGGCTCTTATTGATTATGTTGTTTGGGCAAGTTACTTTGTCTCTTTGGGCTTTGGTTTCTTTACTTGTAAAATGAGGATAGTCATTGTGCCTGCCTCATACATTTTTGGAAAAGAGAGAGTGTACTTAGTTCATGGTAAGTTGTGGAAATGTGTCAGCTCTTGTCACTATAGCATCTTCCATGTGTGTGGTAGGTAGGCAGTTCTGAGTAGAGTCCCTGGCAACCTGCATCAGAATTGCATGGGGTTGTTTAAAATGCAGCTTCCTGGGCCCCCATTCAGGAATATGAGGAAGGTCCTGAAAGTTTTGCATATTTACTAGCACATTAAAGTTTTAGAATTATATGTTGGAGAGTGGAATAATGGACCACAATTAGAGAATGGTGATTATGAGCCTAGAGAACAGTCTAGATGAGGAGACCCTGCTGCTTGTGAGGAATCAGACGGATGGACCTTCCCCTCTCAGCAGTGTGTGTGTGTGTGTGTGTGTGTGTGTGTGTGTGTGTGTAGTATGTGATGTGATGGGTAGTGATAGGTAGGACTTGGAAGTGGTGTTGAGAAGTAAACTGGTCCTCTAGCTGCTGCCGATTTTAAAATGATTTTGTTCCGAGACAGGAGTTGGTAGCCATGACTAATTATTTTCTTGTTTTTGACAGTGGGATGTTCTATGATGGGAACCACACCTATCTCATTGAGCCAGAAGAAAATGACACCTCCCAAGTAAGTGCTCCTCTGTTGTGGCAAACGTGAAAGTTGATGCTGAAAGCTTTTTTCTTCCTCTTTTTCCCCTCTCTGCTTTATTTTATTTAAATATATATTTAAAATAATATTGAATATGTCAAAACCACAAGTGGTTTTTTTTCTTTCTCTTTTAAAAAAATCTGTCTCTCCTTTAAACTGAAAATACTTTCCTTCAGAGGTATTCTGTAGCTTCCATTTCTCTCTCCACCACAATGTATTGTGATCTGTCTTAGTCTGCTCAGGATGTCATTACAAAACACTGGGTGGCTTAAACAACAGACATTTATTTTCTCACAGTTTTGGTGACTGGAAGTCCAAGATCAAGGTGTCAACAGGGTCAGTGTCTTGGTTGAGGGCTCTGTCTTCGGGTTGCAGACAGATGCCTTCTTGCTATGTCCTCACATCGCAGAGAGAAAGAGAGAGCTCTGGTGTTTCTTCATCCCCTTCTATGGGCACAACCCTATTGAACAAGAGCCCCACTCCTACAACTTCACTTAATTATCATTTCCTCACAGGCCCTGTCTCCAAATGCAATCACATTTGGAGTTAAGGCTTCAACATATGGATTGGTGTGGGGGGAAGGGAGGCAAACATTTATTCTATAACAGATCAAAGCCAGATACGTGATTTTCCACCCTCCCTTTCTTTTCTAGATTTGAGATTTTGCTCTATTGTCTTCAAAGCCCAGTGCTGATGAAGTTTAGAGAAATCTAAGTTTTCTCAATTCTTCTCTCACTTTAGTTGAAATATTCATTTCCCACAAATTAGAAAATGATTGAGTTAATGTTATAGACTAGAGAGAAACGTAATCCACTTCCATTCTAGCTCTGTACACACAATTATTCTTCCTTGTATCATGGAAGGAACATTGATCAAACACTTAGAGAGGCAAATACTTTCAAGAAACAAATTGTTTTGCCCCCCCATAATCTTGTTTGAGGAAACTATCTGTATTTGTATATTATTTTCTGGTCTCCACTGCCTGTTCTCCTGTCACTTTGCTTGACCGTGTGATTTTTATTTTTAAAAGGTGATATAATGAAACTTGACTATGACATTCTTCTTTTAATATCATGAAACTATATTTATGGTAGTTCTTATCATGTTAGTAATTGAATGAAGCCAGATGAAGTTAATTGAATGTTCATTAATTTTTCTTAGACAAAATATGGCTTTTTATTGGTTGGCTTTTCACAGAATTTTGGATGACACTTGAATTTTGGAGCAAGGTCCATTTGGGCATCTGCTGTGCCAGTCAGCATGCTCTTTAATACAAGCAAGTGTGTTAGCTCAGCATTCTTTGCCTAGCAAAGCTCTCTGACTCTAAAAGGGAGGCAGGGAATCATGGAAAGGAACCAGTCATAAAAAACATTAACCCATTTTCCCAGATGCCTTGCTTCTCCTTGGGGGGATAGGCCCATTCATTTATTTTCCAAATGGCTTCTCTGTTTGTGAAGGCATTTTGCTTCTAATAGGATGTCACTCGGGTGCAGGAGAACACGGGAGTGAGTGTGAGCTCTTGTGCAATGGCTCATCGCCACTTTAAACCCAGCAGTCTGTGTAGTCAAGTTACGGTGTCTTAAGGGTTCCAGCTCCTCCAGCTCTGATTGCCCGAGGCTGGAGGTGTCTGGAAGCACATGCTTAATCTCTATTGTCTGTGTTATTTCAGGAGGATTTCCGTTTTCACTCAGTTTATAAATCCAGACTCTTTGAATTTCCTTTGGATGATCTCCCCTCTGGTATGAAATTCTTATAATGACTTAAAAAAACAACTTTAATAATTTATTTGAATACTGTAGAGCTCATCTATAGCTGGAATATTGGTAGCACGCAAATGCTCATAATCTTAGAGAGAAAGTCAAGTGTGTCAAGAGGGAGAATAAAATGCAGAATTACCTCATGCTGACAGTGGATGAGTTTGGAAAGATATAACTCAAACACATTGAAGGAAAACTTTTTAAAATTGTAAGATTCCAAGTAAGGTACTATAAGATAAATAACGTTAGATCAGAAATCAGTCTGCATAGGTAACATATGTAAAAATTCACTCTTGGTAAAATACTGTGTTGTAAACGTAGGGTTGAACTCTTAATCATTTCCCATTTGCTGTTATCCTCATCTCTCTATGCCCCAGCATTTTAAGGAAGAACTATTTTAGATTAACATTTTTGTTTTATGTGCTATTTGTTGAATTAGTCTTTCCTTCTCATGAATGTTTTTTGGTCCATTTGTTTACAGATGTTGATTTAAGAGTTGCATCCAAATCTTTACGTGAAAATTGGCCTCGTTTAGTGGAGCAGTGATTGTGCAGGGTCCTAGCTACGCGGGGCTCATTGTGTTCTCCTCTGAAGACAGGGCGCACTCCCAATATCTGGGGTGGAGATGCTTCTCCCTGTTGAGTGAGCCCTGATCATGGCCATAATACATTCTAAATTTTAATCTCACTTTAATTTGTGCAACAGCTCTGTGAGATATATATTAATATTTCCATTTTATAGATGAAGCTCAGCTGGTTTCTTTTCCATGGTCCCACAGCTAGGAGGAGATGGACTGGAAGTTTGGATTATGGCACAATGAGAATGTTCTCTGGGAGAGAGGACCAAGGGGAGTTGGAAAATTTACTAAACTGACAGCAAATCCTAAACTACTGCTTAGGAAAATGACTTAAAAGTTTTCATTGTCTTCTCATCAGAAATGAAATAAATATTTTCTAATGTCCCTTCCTCTCTGAAATAAATTTGTAACTCCTTGACTTCATGCCGTTCCCTTAAAGAGAACTAGGACTCTCCCTTCTCTCCCGTTGCCAAGGGGATATAAGGTCCTATTTTATAGAATTCACTATTTTGAAAAATCTGCAAATGAGCATATAATGCTCTTATTTCACACAGCTACCTATGTAACTTTTATAATCCCTCTTATGGGAAGAAAATTATTCATGACTAGCTGCCTGAGAATAAAGCCACAATCTAATAGATATTACTGGAAGTAATCAACATTAATTAATATTTAAAGTGATAAATAACCCCCCCCCAGACTTTATTGTAGGCTTGCCATGATACAATCTTGTAATTTGAAAAAAAAAAAAAAGAGACTTTCTTGAGGGCTTATTTCCAACAGAAATTTTGGAAGTCACTTGGCCATTTTGCTGTTATTAAAAATGAGTTTTGAACATATTCTTTGAAAACTCAGGTCTATATTAATTAATTTCTGGTTTTCTTTTCTTATCAGAAGTTGGCCCTGTCAATTTTGAGTGTTATTTACCTTTCAAGACGCTTAGATTTACTATGATAAGTTAGAAGAAAATTAGAAATAAATGTCAAAACTGCAATTTTTGTGAAATAAGCTCAAAAGTAAACTTATTATTTTGTAATCAAATATAGTTTCACTGGGTTATGGATTATCAGCACCTTTGTCTTTTTATGCATTATGTATTTCCCAGAGACAGAATATTATCAGGTGTTCTCCACACTTGTTTGATGGTAGAACCTTTTGTTTTACGTGACACATCTCTTAGGACTAGTGTCTTTTCTTTCTTTGTTTTTCTTTTTGATCAATTTTATACTCTCATATATGAGAATCTTAATTGCTTCACCAACACTTCTTCACCAACACTTAGAGTGTCATTCTTTAGTGAAGGTCAGTAGTAAACATGTAGGTCAAGTTGGCTATTTAGAAGGTTCCCAATAAAGAATGTAATGGTTTTATGGGAGAAATATGAGAAAAACTTTGAGATAAGTTAGAACAGGAATAATGTTTGAAATTTTTTTGAATTATACTCATTCATAATGTATTTATTCAGTATTGATATGAACACAATTGTTTTGATTAATGTTCTGTATTATCATTAAGTGCAACATTATATCTTATAAAATTTACTAGTTATTAATAATTACAAGTATTAATAAAGTATAATTATATAATTTTTATTAGGAAGGGCTAGTAAAACTTTGATTGCCTTGTATGAAATAAAGATAGAAATTTCAATAAGTTTAATTTATTTTTATTTCCTTTTAGAGTTCCAACAAGTAAACATCACTCCACCAAAATTTATTTTGAAGCCAAGACCAAAAAGGACTAAACGGCAGGTATGTATTCACAGGTATATATCGTGATGCTTTAAAAACACGTGGCAACTGCCAGTCAATTGACTCCACATTAAGTCCCTGTGAGAGGATATTAGTCAAGACATTTGTCAGGGTGTGGTAAGCAGTAAGCACGATGGATCTGTCGCCAGCAGTGGAGGTGTGGCTATATTTTTTCATAGACTCAGAAAGGACTCAAGACAGTGGTGATAATGTGGTTATTCATCATGTAGATGGATTATGGAGCCCTGCCGTGGCATCTCAGATGCTTTCTGACACAGGCCTTTTTCCTTACCTGGTATGCACCACCTAGTATGCATATCCTGGGATCTGCCTGTATGGTGCCTAACCTTGTGTTTATCCTTTTAAAGATAACCCCTTCTGAGTGAATACATCAGGTTTTGAAGCCACAAATGCTATTGTTACATCTGAGTTATTTTGGAGTCTAGAATATAAAATTAGGATGTCTACTTTATGAAATTTCAATGCATCTTGGACTTAGTAATAAAAATAACAACTGTTTGTACAGTGCTTTAACCACATGAAGTAGGTACTACTATTATTACTCTTATCCAGGAAAAAAACAATGGCTTTTCAATGTGAAAATGACTCATGCAGAATTATGGAACTGATACATGGTTCAGACAAAATAAGAACTCGGGCCATCAGAATTAAGCAATCATCACCATTGTGGTGGTGGTTGGTGTGATAGTATGTGTGTGGCATAAAAACACAGGGTGAGAGAACTAGATCTCTAGTAAGATCAAACTGTTGAAGGAAACAGGTATTTTCTTTTTAAAATATGTTTAATCTGTATGAAATAAAACACGTTTACAGACAAATTTCTAGTGTGAATAGTAATTGCTAAATTTTATTGAGTACTTACCATGTGCCTGGCCCTGTTCTAAGAATTCTAATTGTATTAACACATGTAATCCTCATTATAATCTTATGAGGAAGGTATTATTACTATTATCTCCATTTTACTGATAAGGACATTTAAGCATAGGAGGCTTAAGTAACTTGCCCATGGATATATTGGGTTACCCAGTGGTGGATCTGGGATTCTGACCTAGAAAGTCTGGTCTCAGAGAAGTTCTGATAACCACATATGCTTAATATACTGACTTTCGGAAGTCTTTGTGTTCTATGAATTACTACTATGAACTTTATATATTTTGTGAATATGCATATATATGGAGGCCCAATTAAATAGACATAAGTAATTGCCATGAGGATTTAATTGGAAACAGGAATTATTTTCATGAGTTAATAAGTGAGAGAATAGGATGATTTTCTGTTGATATAATTCTTTATGTTTTTCATAAACATTTGTAACATCCAGTCATATGCTAAGCAGACAAACTCTTGATTTCTCTTTCTGAGAACCACGTGGACCCAGGGAGATGAAGTGTTTTAAAACTGTGTGGCCAATATTGGCAACTTTCTGACCTTCAGAAAATGTGGAAACTTGTGAATCTACTGTATTACCTTATAAGGCTCAGTCTCCTCCACAGTTAAAAAGCAGAGACTAGCATCCTAAAAACACCCATTTTAAAAGAGACTCCTGTGATTGGGTGCAGTTTATGTGACTTTTTGGTTTGCAAAGCTCAAATTATGTCTGTCATTCCTTACCAACTTATAAGGGATTTTGAAAAAATATATTTTTTAAAGTTTGGGAGTGTGTTAGCAATGAAACAAAATCCACATGGCAGGAATGTTTTAGTTTGCTTTAAATGCAGTACTCAAAACACATTCATTATGGATTTAGGTTTGATTGTATACCCTCATCACCAAAATGGCGCTTGGGCAAGTGAGCAAAAGATTTTATTGAAAAAACTGTTTATCAAAAAGCATGGCGTAAAGGAAAAAGTTAATTTTGCGTACCTTGTTAAAGAGTGTGTTATAGACTAACTGCGGAGAACAAAGGCATATGGCTGCCTTAGTGGCTCTTGCCAGTAGCGTTCTCTGGTCATGATTTTGAAGGTGGAGAAAATTTGTTGTTGAACAGACAGATGTAGCTGCACTGCATAACCCAAACCTGGGAACTCTCAGAACTATCCTAACAAAGTTCCTGTGTCATTTGGGGGATCCCCTCACTCCTGCCAGAGGAAGGAACATGTCTCAACCCCAGATTTGGAGATTAAAGAACACAAGTGTCAATCATCTCACTCCCGGTAGACCTCTCAGAGATTCCCAGGAGCTTAAATTAAACCATTTTATTACAATCTCTGAGGTCTACTGTTAAATGAAAATAGCCTGAGAATGAAATAGATGGAAGTACATAATGAAATGCCTATCCTTTGATTTATATGCATACATATTTCTGGAAGAAACCAGTAACTGCTGTACCCATTGTTGGGGAAGGATAAAAACTGGGTAAATGGGGACAGAGGCGAGAGGAAGACTTTTACCCTCTACTTGTTTATAATTCTTTAATTATTGAACCATGTAAATGTATTACTTCCTCAAAAACCAAATTAATTGAAGAAAATGAAAAAATAAATGCTAAATGAATAAAAGGGGGAAACTGTTTTGTTTACTTCTCCCATATTTTTTAGTTTCTCTTATTAAAAAATTTTCAGCTTTATTGAGGTATAATTAACAAATAAAATTGTGAGATATTTAAGTGTGCATTGTGAAAACATTTCCCCCATGGAGTTAATTAACACATCTATCACCTCCCTCATTTACCTATTTAGGGAGTGAGAACATTGACGTTCTACTTTCTTAGCAACTTTGTTATACAAGGCAGTATTATTAATGTGAGTGTCCATCAAAGAATAAATGGATCAAGAAAATGTGGCATATATACAATAGAATATTATTCAGCCTTAAATCCAAAATACAAAAATGCACGGTATCACTTATAAATGGAATCTAAAAAACAACAACAAAAAAGTCAAACTCATGAAAACAATAGAAAAGTGGTTCCCAGGGTCTAAGAGGTGGGGGAATAGGGAGAGGTGGTGAAAAGGCACACATTTTCAGCTATAAGATGAATAAGGTCTGAGAATCTAATGTCTAACATATTTTTTAGTTTTTCACAGCCAAGTTCAGAGGGCCTATTTAGGTGCCATTTCCTTTACTATATTGCAGCTCCATCGCCATCCTCGAAATGTAGAGGAGGAAACCAAATATATTGAACTGATGATTGTGAACGATCATCTCATGGTAGGATTTGCTGAATTTGTTGTTGTTTGCACTTGTTCGTACCTTGGATAAAACTGGTCAGTGCAGGAATATGTTTAGAAGAAAGAGGTCCATAAAGCGTTAACCTGGACAAGGTATTTGTGTAACCAGATATGTTTGTTACCCAGCAACAACCTATAAAAAGGAAACACCCTTAGGTGAAAGTAACTAATGGTATTTTGTGAGTTCCAAAAATATTTCTGGGACTCATAATGTCAACTCTTTCTTGATTAATATCAATTCCTACTTGACTAATATAGGGGCTAATACTTCCTCTTACTAAAATGGCAAGATTTTAAAATAATGAAAAGTTCCACTAGTGAGACACCAATAATGTGACACTTTAGTTTTCAATGTTCAAGTTTATCCTAGTGAAATAGAAGCAACATTTCTATTTCTGTCTTGCTGTGCAGTAAACCATATGGGAAAGCTTATATAGCCAAGTAATATAGATTTTTAGGATTTTTAGGATAAGAACCTAGCAAAACTCATTTTTGTTGAGTCTGTTATTTTTTTATATTCAATTTTATAGATTCAGTTCATGGGCATGTAGCAGTCATATGGTTATAGTCACAGTCTAGTCTTATATTAATTCTGCATAACTAGGGCATTGTACTAAAAGTGTTCAATGATGCACATTGCTTGATTTTATTTAATTTCACATGAAAGTACATTTGGATTTACTTTGATTTATTTGAGGGAAAATATAATTTATTTACATATGATTAAACAAATAATATCAATTTTAATTCTTTTTACTGATTATACCATCAAGATTGAGTGCTTCTTTCTTGCTCAGGCTAAGACTAAGTTTTACCTTTCTACCTTTTCAAATTCAGTGCATGTTACTATTCCCTGAGATTTTTACAAAACAAGCATAAGTTGCAAAAACATAATTTTGGGTATTTTGGAATATCACAAATTCAGATGTCTATAGACATCTTTATGCAGAAAACACAAATCAAGTGAGTCAGGTGTTAAACAATAGTGAGGAGTGAGGCCTGTGGTGAAGAAAGGAATGTCACATGGCTGGTCTAGTGGGTCCCGTTTTTACCATGTGGGGATGCTAATTTAAAGTGAAGCCAGAAATCAGGTTTTACATGATATTTCCTGAGTTTTAAAACAGCACTGGGGCCAAACAAAAGATATATGTGATTCACATCTACCCTATAAACTACCACTTTGTAACCTTTAGGGCTTTCTTCTCCTGACTGAATACGTCTTATAGAATTCATACATTTTTATACTTTTAGCAATATTCACATTCACTTTATCTGACTTGGATGCTACTTATATTAGTATGTCTTGCAATTCATAGATAACTTTATATGTTTTAATCATTTCTGAATAATAATCTCTTGGTAGAAATAAATTTGTGGAGTAGATGGAATGAGTATTTTTTCCTTCATATCACAGATGAGTAAACTGAGGCCTCCAACTTTTAAGAGCCTTTTCTCAGACTACAGCATGTAAAGGACTAGGTCTCAATTCTTATTTATTTATATAAGAATTTTTTTTAACAGAAAACCATAGAGATCTTTCAATTACACCATGTTTTCTTTGTTGAGTTGATTATTTGCTGATGACTTTGAAAGCCCTTCACTTGTTTCCTTTTGCTTTCAGTTTAAAAAACATCGGCTTTCAGTTGTACATACCAATACGTATGCGAAATCTGTGGTGAACATGGCGGATTTAGTAAGTATCAACCCGATTCAATATTGCCATAGAGGAATTTTATCACTTGATGGCTAGCAGAACAGATAATATGGTTTTTACATTTTCACTACTCTAAGTTATGCTTTAGCCAAGGTGTCTCCCAAATCCCTGGTAACCGTGCAGTTGACTTTATTGACTTCGATATCTGGCTGGGAAGATGACAAAAGGAAGTGGCCACAGTTTCCCACATGTTTATGCCTGATATTCCTTCCTGAATTTTTCACATGGGAAAAAGAAAAGGTTGGGTCATAGGCCCTAACAAAGATACTCACCTTGTACTTCCACCAGTGGAAAAGCAGTATAAGATTTGCCTTTTTCAAAAGGGTGCCTGATGCTGTGGGAATTATGCAACTAAATAATCCTACCGAATCTACTTTCCAAATCTTCCCCTCACAAGACAATGAATTGCACTGTACATGCGCACCCGTACGTGGTATTTTGTGGAAGAGCCACACTCAAGGGGCCAAAGAGCCGCATGTGGCTCGCGAGCCGCAGTTTGCCGACCACTGTGCTAGGGGAACTCAAGAATGCATGGATGCTTTGTCTGGGTGCCAGAAGGTGGACTCAGGGAGAGCCTTGAATAAGGGCACAAGTATTTGTCAAAACATGATTTTTTTTGTTTCTAACTAGTGCTATTCTTTGGGTGTTAATTGCTAAACAATTGATTCCCTGTTTCTCAAGGGAAATGCATGTAAGTTAGAAAAATAATTATCTCCCTTAAAAACAATGAAATTTCTTACATTAACTAAAACTCAAGGTGTTTCCTTAAGTAGAAATTTTTGTCCTGTTCATTAAACATTTGATGTTACCACATGTATAGCTGGTGTGTTCATTTTGTTATATACTAGATATATAAAGACCAACTTAAGACCAGGATAGTATTGGTTGCCATGGAAACCTGGGCAGCTGACAACAAGTTTGCCATATCTGAAAATCCATTGATCACCCTACGTGAGTTTATGAAATACAGGAGGGATTTTATCAAAGAGAAAAGTGATGCAGTTCACCTTTTTTCGTACGTAACTTTTGTAATGATTTATTACTTTTCCTGGTTCCATGTTGAATGCTCTATGACCTGTGACTGCAGTGTATCCTTTGTACTGCATAATACAATTAGGATTTGATAGGGAAGATGCATTTGGAAGAAGTTTTTAAAGTATAGATTGTTTCAAATTGGCATGAAAATGTAAGAGCTTTAATTTTGAGTTATTTTCTTATTGCATATACATTTCATTTAAATTTTCAAGAGGTTTAATGAAAGCATGTATTGAGTAGAAGTACTGTTAATGTTCATACAGAGTATTTTTGACTTATTAATTATACTCTTTAAAGTTGTTGGCTTTTAAATGTTAACTATGTTTTTGATTTAAGATGAGAGCTTAGTATTTCCAGAGTTTATCTTTTGTTTTTCTCACTCTTAAAGGTTTTTTTATAACATGTTTATTTGATGTAATAGCAAGATATATATAATAGCATTTTAAAAACCTATCATTTGAAGTCAGAGCTTTTGTTGAAGAAAGTTATAAATGGAAGTAAAAGAGTATATTTGGGGGGTAACTTTTTATTTTTATATAATTTCAAACTTAGAGAAAAGTTGTAAGGGAAAACCCTATGCCTTTCATCCAGACTCATTAATTGTTTACATTTTGCCCCATTTGTTTTATTATTTCTTTCCTTTCATTCTTCTTACCCCTTTTTCTTCCTTTCATCCATCTATCAGGTTTTTTTTTTCCCCTGAACCATTTGAGAGTAACTTGGAGACCTTACTAGGCATTTACTACTTAATACTCAAGGCATTTTCTTATATAACTATAGTAAATTATTAAAACCAGATAATTTAGCATTGGTATAATATGTGATTTAACCTACAGTCTATATTCAAATTTTACTAATTGTCTCAATAATGTCTTTTATAACTAATTCTCTCCTGCCTCAAATTCAGAATCTAATGCAGGACCACACATTGCTGTCATGTCTCTTTAATCTGTAATCTGGAAGATTTCCTCAGCCTTTCTTTGTTTATTTTGAACTTAACACTTTGAAGCGTTTAGGCCAATTATTTTATAGAATGCCCCTCTTTGTGGGGCTGATATTTTCTCGTTATAAGATTCAAGTTATGCATTTTTTGGCAGAAATAGCACAGTAGTGATTTTGTATCCTTCTCAGAGTACATCTTATTAGTAATTCTTTTTTAATAGGTAGAGTTCTCTTGAAGATAGTGATTATATGGGGAAACATCCTCAGAAACCTTTCTTTTTGGTCATGTGTATAAATAATTTTCATATTCCTTCTTGGCTTCAGGAACATATAGTATACAAATGTTATGTGCATTGAGAAAATAAGTGTGATAAATTAATAATGAGAGGTGTTATGATATTTGAACTGCGAGCAGTAAGTATTTTTCATTTCCTTTTCTGAAAGGGGAAGTCAATTTGAGAGTAGCCGGAGCGGGGCAGCTTATATTGGTGGGATTTGCTCGTTGCTGAAAGGAGGAGGCGTGAATGAAGTAGGTGTGAACATCTGTACAGTACAAAGTGGTATGATGGCTGAAAATGTTTTCCTAATATTTAAGAGATAAGTTCTCAGTATTGCACATTCTCCACGTTAGGTTGTTTTATTAATACCAGTGTAGTTACTGTAAATGACCAGAGGGCAGAATAAGGAAATAACAGACGATAATATCTGATAATTCTGTTCATGGTCTACTTAGAATAATTTCCAGATTTAGCTATTTACAGATTATATAGTGAAAATATTTACTTTTACCTTCATGGACAATAAAGCCTTGTTTATCACTTTGATTTTCCAGAGAATTGAGTAATTCTCTGAATTGTCCAGCATACTACAAAAACCCAATTGGAAATTTTCTTCCTTCTTTGATACTTGGCAAATTTTTGGAGAAAAAAATAGACCAGGCTTTTCAAAGGGTTCCTTCTACCCCTAAGGCACTAAACCTGATGGACGTGACCTAAAAGGAAATACTTGAATCCTTGGGAGGCTGTATATTGAAAAAAATACCTCTAGGCCCCCTTAAGTTTCTTTTGGCCAAAGACCATCACCACATCCTGTTATTTAGCTTTTGTTCTCAGAAGCCACGTTCTATTTAGTTTGGGGAAATTTCAGGAGTACAAGTGGACACACAGAGATGGAAAGTTCCAAATAATTTACTCATTTATTATTATTATTATCCAAATCACTAATTATATGTAAGTATTACATTTTTTCAGACACATCACTGGTGAAATTTGGACTCAGAATTAGGTTTAAGTTTCCAAACCGATAAGCTGGCGATTCCCTGGTTTCTAGTCTATAAGGCTTAATCAAACACAGATTTATTTCTTACTACGTCTCCCCAAATGCTCAGTAGTTCAGTATTGGCTATTATGTGTTTAACCTGTGCCAAATAAAATACTTAGAGATTGCTTATTTTCAATTATATTGTGAATTTTTCTCTGGCCCATCTTAAATAAAAATAATTTGCATTGACATGTATTTTACTTTTGTTTTGTTTTTCAGTTTGGGAAAACTGATTTAATGGCAGTTACACTTGCCCAGTCATTAGCCCATAATATTGGTATTATCTCAGACAAAAGAAAGTTAGCAAGTGGTAAGTTAAAGTACATGTGTGGTATAATTGTATTTAAAATAGACTATCTGTGAAATATTTTGGAGAATGAAATTCTTTAATTCAGTTGCTTGATCAAAAGAGTTTGGATGATAACATAAGATAAACAGCTAGGGCATAAAACAAAACATTTTTCAAAAGTAATACACCATTATATTTATATTACAGATGAAAATTTCTCCATGTGTTATGAATGTTTAAAGTTATGTGATGATAAACGTTTGAATTTCACATAAAAAGGACAAAATAATTTTAAATGTTTTAATAAAAAAATCCTAGGCATATAGGTTTAAGGCATACTGTTTTATTACGGTTTATTTAAAACATCTCTTAATATGGCCATAGAGAATTTGCCTGACTGATAAAGGGCTTAGTCAATATGGACCTAGTGAAATATGCTATGTTTAGCATCTATGAGGAATATATTTTACCAAGTTATTTCACTATGTATTATGAGTACGTTGCTTATAGTCATATTTATTTTATTTTTAATAACAGACATTATAAATATGATTGCTTATATTGATAACTATTATAATTTGTGGATTCTATGACAAACAATTGAATGCCAGTATTATCTACATGTAGCTACTCATTTAATCCTCTAGATATTCCTACAAGATATGCATTATTAGCTCCATTTTACAGATGTGACTAGATCATAAAAGGCTAATGTCTCAAGATTAAGTTAAATGGCAAGCCCAGGTTTTGAACCTGGGTGATTCTGATTCTGAAACCCTTCTGCTTAACCGATATATCATACTGCCTTCTGCCAGCAGCCTTGGTGTAGAGGCTTTTTAACAATAAACAGGAAATTATAAGAATTCTCATAAAGGCCTGTGAAACTAAGATCCTGGAGTGGTGTGTCACTATTTCATTGTATTTTATTTTAAGTGAATTCTTTCAAAATATGGCCACTTGATAAAATATCAAAAATATTTAATTTTAGTAAGAATTATGTAAACTTGACAGGGTCAGGGTAGATTTTTGTGGTTATTCACTGCATAGAAACTATAAAAAAATTAGAAAGCAAGTATTACTTTTTAAAAATTATATTAGGAATAAAGTTAAGATATACTTTTTAAGATAGGAACTACTTGAAGGCACCTGTTTTTACTTTGTAGTAAGGCATGTGTATTCCTCTTCTCTTAGGTGAGTGTAAATGTGAGGACACATGGTCTGGATGCATAATGGGAGACACCGGGTGAGCCACTCTACTTGAAAATACCTCACTTTTCCTTTCCCTGCTGTGCTGCTGTCTTCCTAGGAATATGACACCCAATAACTTAGTGCATGGACCCTCACCACAGGCATTTAGGAGAGAATCAGTAGGTTTTCTCAGTGGCTTTGTTATGTAAAATATTTTCACAAACGACTATCTTATTTATGAAAACAATTGATGTCAATTAATCCAGAAGGTCAAAGGTCAACGATGTTTTTGACCTTGAATCTAGGCTGGAAATGAGGAACAGTTTCCTTCTTGATGGCTTACATACTAATCTCATTCCTTTTACCTTCTTCAATTCAAATTCAGTGGGTAATAAACAGGACTGTACTGGTAAGCTGACTCACAAAAACAAAAACAAGAAAAAAGCCCAGATTTGTCACTTCTCGGATTGCCAGCAGCCTTCCACCATAAGTAGAGCCTATGGTGTAGACCAGTGATGGCGAACCTTTTGAGCTCAGCGTGTCGGCATTTTGAAAAACCCTAACTTAACTGTGGTGCCGTGTCGCATATAGAAATTTTTTGATATTTGCAACCATAGTAAAACAAAGACTTACATTTTTGATATTTATTTTATATATTTAAATGCCATTTAACAAAGAAAAATCAACCAAAAAAATGAGTTCTCGTATCACCTCTGACACGTGTGTCATAGGTTCACCATCACTGGTGTAGACACTACAAGGGCTGGTTTCAAGCTACCACACGCGCCTCACTGAACGAGGAGTGGGAGGAGTTGTGCACAATTGCTCTCCTGAGAAAGGTTTTTATTTGTACCCTGTCCCACCCGTCACACACTATCAGGCATTAACCTTTTATTCTTTCTAAATTCTACAATCATTCCTTTCGTGCCAAGCTTATCACTACCCTTTAGTTGTCTTTTTTAAAATTAATCTTCATTGTTGAGGTTACTACAGATGGCCCTCTTTTTTCCTCCCATAGCTCCCCTCCACCCGGTTCCCACCCCACCCCAGGCCCTCGCCACCCTATTGTCTGTGTCCATAGGTAATGCATACATGCATATAAGATCTTTGTCTAATTTCTTCTCGAACCTCCCTCCCCCGCCCCCCCCCCCCACACACTTTTAAACTTTCATCATCTTGTGCTCTTATTTCAGTAACATTCCAGATACTCAGCTTCGGGGCTCCCTCTCTTCCATCCACTTCCATCATAATTGAAAAGGTAGAAGGAATGAAAGAGTGAACAGTTATAAACTATTATCCAGATTTTAAAAATTAAATATTTACTATATAATTAAATACCATGGTTAATGTTACAATAACAATATTAAAATAATGTTTAAATGCAATATCTTTTTCTTTTCATTTTTATTGTTCTTTTATAAAATTTGGATCCTGTTGGCTATATAACTATTTATTCATTTTTTTACTTAACATTATATAATCAACATTTTTTTCTGAGTCTTTATTTTTGAACACCATGATTATTAATAACTACATGGTATTCTATTTTATTAACAGGTAGTTGTTTTTTTTAACTGTTGAACATTTAGGTTACTTTCATGTTATTTGCTATTATAAACTGTGCCACCATAAATATCTGAGTTCAGACATATTTGAACACATAGCTAATTATCTCCTCAAGAAAAATTTTTTATTTTATTTATTTTTTAAAATATATTTTATTGATTTTTTTTACAGAGAGGAAGGGAGAGGGATAGAGAGTTAGAAACATCGATCAGCTGCGTCCTGCACACTCCCCACTGGGTACGTGCCCGCAACCAAGGTACATGCCCTTGACCGGAATCGAACCTGGGACCCCTCAGTCCGCAGGCCGAAGCTCTATCCACTGAGCCAAACCGGTTAGGGCTCAAGAAAAAATTTTTAAATTAAAACTATTAGATTTGAGAATATTTCTCATTTTGAAGATTCTTAACACACATTGCCAAATTGCTCTATAGTTATTTCTTTTTCTATTGACCCTTTGTTACTTTATTTGTATACATTTTTTGAAACAATCCTGAAAATTTGCAAGAAGAGTAACAAAACCTTTTTGTCCTTGAATCATAAATTGCTAACTTGCTGCCCCATCAGTGCCAACAACTTAGTGTGCATTTCTACCAATAAGGACATCCTCCTACAGAAACACAGTACAACAAATAAAATCATCTCATTCTTAGCCCTCATTCAACACTGGCTCTGTGTTTCAGAATGTCATTTTAGAAAAGGTTCAGAATCAGACATCAGGTTTTTATGTCTCTTTAGCCTCCTTCAGTCTGGAACAGTTCCTGACTTTCTTTGACTGTCATGACCTTGACACATTTGTAGATTATAGGTCAGTTGTTTTGTAGACTGCTTTGCAGTTTGAGTTCCAGCCCAACTGTAATATTTAGGAATGACTTATTATGAAATAAATTATTCCTCTTTTTGTTGGAAATTACAAGTGTGTGTGTTTCCTTTGAATATGTATGCAAATAATGAACAGCCCATCATCACCATTGGTCACCAAATGAAGGATTTAGAAATATACTGATTGAATAAAACTTTTAGGGATTTGAATGCAAATATTGTACATAAGTGGAATTTATTTTTCACTTTTGAGAAAATGTATAATTTTAACAATATTCAATTTTAACACTAATGTTCAGGCAGGGGAAACAAAAAATTGTACCCAGCTATTAATTTCCTTCTGTCTTATAGCTACTATCTTCCTAAGAAGTTTACCCAGTGTAATGTTGAAGAGTATCATGACTTCCTGAATAGTGGAGGTGGAGCCTGCCTTTTCAACAAACCTTCTAAGGTAATAAGTGTGATCAGTTATTAGTTATTAATCTTTCTAAAGTATGATAAACACAAATTTTTCAGCCATTTGGTCTTATAAAAGAGAGCTTTTCAACTTGGCTTGTACATATTGAATATGTACGTATTCTAAATTTACTAAGTATTTGCATTTTCAAAGCCAGCTTTAATCTTGAGCATTTGGGGCTTTTCTGATAGGAATAGGAAGTAGGTAGAAATAAGAATGTTTGCTTTCTGAAAATTTTTCATTTTCTATTTATACAGCCACATGATGATTCAGGGATAACTTACAAAATGTTTTCATTTCGTTTTTCTTGAGTTCCCCTCTTTGGATACATAATCACAACTCATACCGGTAGAAAGGGGGTGGGGGCATAGCTGCCTTCATTACTCCCTGCCATGCCTTTCAGAATAAGCAGTATGATTAAAATTACAAGTACTTCTCAATATGAAAACCAAGTTTGCTTAAAGAAGAGAAGGAGAAAGTCTTTCTGTGCTTAGACTTTGTCAGAGGCTTTTGCAAGGTGAGGAACATCCTTTGATCACTGACTACCTGAAAGCAGGTCTTCCTCCTGCCCTCGGAAGTCTGCACATTAAAGGAGAATGCTTTGTCCTTGTCAATTATGTCAACTGTGACATGCTTCTGCACACCACAGCCTTGGGAGTCATTCACCTGGTTTCATTCTCTGTCACTCCGGTGACATTTAGGAAATGTATCACATGGCAATAAAATGACTTTAGCACGGAAAGTTCCAGAAGTGATAATTGAACAAAATTCTTACTGCTATGAAGGAAAAACAGTTCAAGTCTTTTTACCAAAATTACTGATTATTCTGAACCCAGAGGAAGAGAATAAGAGTGCTTTTCACCTAGATACGTTTTAGTTTGGGCTTCCAAAGCTGTCTCATTCGTTATGCTCTCTTTCAACTGGAAATGAAATTGAGAGATAGATGAATTGATTCTTTTGTTGGAGAGGAGAGAGTATTTGAAATTAGGTGGGGATTCTTTGTTGTTGTTGTTGTTGCTTTCTTTATTTGGTTTTGCTTCTTCCCTCTAGTTGGTTTTAAGAAAGTGTGTGTGTGTATTTGTTGATAGGTGTGTATTCACTGCCATTCTGTAAAACGTAGACTTTGATTAATTTTTGAATGGATATTATATATTTAAAACATAGCAACTATATTTACTAATTTTACCTATAATCATAAGATAAATTATAGTCAAAGCATAGATTGATGGAGAGTTAAAAATTAAACAGTCTTAAAATATACTCTTGTACAGACCAAAAACTCCTTCTGTTTCTCGGGAAAGTTATCATTGCTGTTGTCTGCAGGACTATGTTAATAGGAGGAGCAATATTTTGTATTAAAAATTAGTGGATTTGTTATTTTGTGATGTTTTCCTCATTGTCAATGAAATAACTTTCTGTTACACAAGAAAATATAGTTAATAAAGGGCTTTTCACAGGTAATTGAACTTGATCCTCACAGCAATTTGTGATGTAGATGGACAGTTGATATTATTCCTGTTTTAAATACTAAAACTCTTGGGCTCAGAGATGGCAAGCTGTTTGTCCAAGATAAGTAGCTGAGCCAAGATTTGAGTCCCTTGCTTCCTATTTAAAGGAAATGAAATTTCAGGAGTCATTCTGGCTTGGTTTTGGTCATGGCTAGATCATATTTTATTTTGATGGCATTTCTCAGACCCTATTTGTTTATGTATGTTATATATGTAAATATGATTAAATCTGACATGGAAACAATATTAGACACTTCTGTTCTAAGGTTCCTAGTTCTAAAGTTATAGGAAATTGTGCTTTCTGTTTAGGAAAATAAAAATATATTTTGGAATAACTGACAGATATGCCAGAAGCTTAGGTGTGGCACTTAGGGTTTCATAAAGTCTTTGACATTGATTTGTCTCTATTTTAATTCTCTTTTTGGTTTTCATCCCACAGCTTCTCGATCCTCCTGAGTGTGGTAATGGCTTCATTGAAACTGGAGAGGAGTGTGACTGCGGGACCCCAGCAGTAAGTCTCTGGGTGTTTTGATGGCTTTTTTTAGGTTATTCAGGGTCATTCCAGGCCCATACACTGAGATAGACATACAGAGCAGGGGTGATGCCTGGAAGTTTTATAAGATTTGTGGAAGGAAGATTATTATTACGAGGTTGTTCATTTATTTTAGAAAATATCCTGGTACTTTCAGGAAAATTACCCCATTTCTGAAATTATGCAAATGATTATATTCCTTAGGAATGTGTCCTCGAAGGAGCAGAGTGTTGTAAGAAATGCACCTTGACTCAAGACTCTCAATGCAGTGATGGTCTTTGTTGTAAAAAGTGCAAGGTAAGTAAATGTTGTTTCATAACCAACTGATGAAAAAGAGGACATATTTGATTACACTGTTAAGGTGAGGTTAATATAATCTAATAACAACAGTAGTATCAAACACATATTAAGTGACTAAGTGCCAAATGCTTTACAGGATCCTCACAAAATCTTGTGAGGTGTAGTAACTACTTTTATTCCCATTTAACAGATGAGAACACTGAGGCTTGTGTGGTTAAATAGTTTGCCCAGGGTCTTAAACCAAGTAAGTCAGGGAGGTAGGGCCTGCACCTTTATAATTCCCAGAGTTTGTCCTCTCACTACTACTGCCTCCTTGAGGACTATGCACATTAAATGAAAACAGGTGTTAAATCTTTGAATGCTGTTTTCCCTTTCTTGTAAAGCCAAGTGGATATTCAGTAGACCTTTCTTTTCTCGCTGCTCAGTTTGGTACATCTCTTGCATTAGCTATTGAAGGAGCAAAAGGAATACTTTAGACATGATAACACCTTACATGTGTTGTGCAAGAGATTTTAAAATGCACCTTGAAACACATTGACTGTTTTCACCCTCCCACCAGCATCTTCATACCTGTCTCCAAATATTTAAGCCTTTCCATCAAGACTAACAGTTATTTGAGGCTTACCTTTTCCAAAGAAATCTATTGTTTTTTTTTCTCTTCTCATAGAAAGTCTGGTACAATATTCTACATTATTTCTGAGGTTGAATATGTGTTTCATTCTGTACATTTTATGGAGGCAGAGCCAGGGACTTACACAGTAATTGGTACAGGTTCTTAGTAAACATTTGTTGAATGAATGAATAAATACGCTCATCAGATACTTACTGATTATTTGCTGATTAGTCTACTTAGAGTTAAGAGAGGGTGGAATATGAACCAGTTATCTACTGAGTGCCGGAGACAGTGCTAAGGACTTTTAATGTATATCATCTTATATCTGGATTCTCAATGCTGGCACTATTGAAATTTTTGGCTGGATAATTTTTTGTTGTGAGGGTGAGTCTTGTTTATTGTAGAATATTTATCAGCTTCCCTGACTTCTGCTTACCAGATGCAAGCACAATCCATCCCAGTGGTGACAACCAAAATATCTCCAGAGATTGCCAAATGTCCCCGTGGGGGCAAATCCACCCCTGGCTGAGATGCTGTCTTAGATAATGCTCACAACCACACTTTCTGATAGGCGTTACTATCCAGACTTTTTTCACTTGCGCAATCCCGGTCTCAAGGAAGTGAAATAACCTGGGTAGGCTCATTCAGCCGGGGATGAATATATGTGCAGTTACTTCCCAGGTCTGCTGGCAGCGATTTCTGCTGTTTTCCCGTTACCACGGTGTCTCTGGCAGCTCTGTAAGACCAGTGAGGCGCTGGCAGAGATCTCTGAGCAAACTCTCTAAAAGAGGAAGATGAAACCAAGTGTGAAACAGACGTTCTTTCATTTTGGCTGCCTCAACTGTTTATTCTGTCAGCTTTTCCAATGGCCATAGCGGGTTCCCCAATCCCTTATTTTAATTCTCAATATTTTAAGTCTGCCGACCCATAACATGCATTTAATTAGGCTATTTTTCTTCGATTTATGGACTTCGGCTCTTTGTGATGTAATCAGTTCAAAGAACAAGTAAAAAATAATAGAATACATACAATAAAGTGGTATGTTAATCATCCCACAGATAAGTACCAGTCAAGTAAGGTCTTTTTTGCTAATTTCTCACCCCCCCCCCATCCCCACTCCCACCCCTACCCTGGGCTCCTGAAGGGGCCAAAGCAAGATAGTGAATGGAGGAGGGGACATAGAAGAACAAGATGAGAAATTGAGTGTATTTCTATTTTTTCTACATGTGTTTATAATAATGTGTATATAAGTCAGAGTTGGCAAGCACTCTCTATAAAGGGTCAGAATGTAGGCTTTGTTGGTCATAGCTATCAATGTCAATTACTTCTGCCTTTGAAAGCAGCCATCAAAAATACAGAAACCCATGGGCCTGGCTGTGTTCCAATAAAACTTTATTTAGAAAAACAAATGGCCAAGTGCCTATCAGTAGATGAGTGAATAAAAAAGCTGTGGTACATTTGGTCCATGGAATACTATGCAGCTGTATAAAAGAAGGATTTCTTATCCTTTGAGACAGCATGGATGGACCTGGAAATTATTATGCTAAGTGAAATAAGCCACACAAAGGAAAACAAATGCCATCTCACTTTATCTGGAATCTAATGAACAAAATAAACTGATGAACAAAATAGACCCAGAGGCATAGATACATGGAACAGACTGACAGATCTTAGAGGGAAGGAGGGTGGAGAGGAGGGGAAGAGATTAACCAAAGAATATGTATATATGCATAGCCTGAAACAGACAATAGGCTTAGGGTGAGGTGGGAACCTGGTGATAGGGGGGGAGGTTAGGGGAGGGGAATGGGGGACATCTGTAATATTGTCAGCAATGAAAAATAAATAAAAACAAACCAAAGGAAAAACACCCACATGTGCCCAACCAGATGTTGCCCTCGAGCCATCACTTGTGGACCTCTGCTGTAAAATACTGCTTACGTATTATTTTTCTTCTCAGTGTGTAACTTCTAGGAGGGCAGGGATTTGGGATGATACATTTACCTCTGTACCCCAGCACTTAGGGCAGGTCCCCCTTAACTGTGCTTTCTCTCAGAAATCTCTGGCAGTCCTTGAACATTTCCACTCTCATATAAACTCTACCTTAAATCTGCTCATATTTCTACCCCAGATGTTCTAAAACTGTGGTGTGCCCCAATTCCAAGGAGGAAGAGAGCCAGAATATATGAGATGAAATTATTCTGCTTATTTCCTTGTTTGTGTAGCCTATTTTGCCCCATTAAAACAGTTTCTTGCAAGCAGGATTCTTGTGTTTGTTCTCCATTAGGTTCCCAGTGCCTGGCACATTTAAGTGGCTAGTAAATACTTGAATGAATGAATGAATGAATGAATGAACAAACGAACACAATTTTTGTTTGGATCTTCTAAAAAGTATCTGTTGGAATGCTGATTGGAGTTGGCAATGTGCTGTTCATGTTCTACAAACAACAGGAAACTGAATTGTCTGGAGGGTTGTGAGCAGGGGAGGAAGATGAAAGGTGTGTGTGTGTGTGTGTGTGTGTATTGCTTGAAGAATAATGTGTGTCTTTCTGTGAGCAGAGATCAAAGCAGAAAAAGATCCAGCCCCAAATATTAACATTTTGGAGAAGGAAAGTAAGTGGGATTGAAGAGCAAAGGGGAAAGATGAAAACGCTATGTATCTCTGTTTTGTTATAATGAATAGTCTTGCAATTTATAAATCCGATGAGCTTAAAAATATATTGGTACTAATCCCACACTTACAAGAAATATTTGAGGTGGTTGAAAACAGACAAAAAAACAAAAGAAAAAACCCTCCCATACATGGGTACAAATCATAGAAACATTAGAAAAGAATAAAAGACCAAGCTATAAATCCATTTAAAAATGAGGCGGGAAAGAAGGGAAAGGAGAGCACGGGAAGAAATAGCTTTGCCAGAAAATCGAACTTGTGCAATTTATCCCAAAATGTAACTTCCAAATTCTTGGCAGAAAAGGTAAAAGAAAAAGTAATGTGATAAACGTGCCAGTAAGAATGAGGGGGAAGTGTAAATCCAAAAGCCATTTGGAAGGAAGAATTCCTAGAACTTGACTGACTCCTCCGTCTCAAAGGATGCATCATCAAGCACGGTCCTGTTTTACCAAGATATCCAGGGATTGTGTGTGATGACTGTGCAAATTACTGCATACACAAGAAACTCTCTTCGAAAAGTACCAGATTAACATTTCATTCAGTAGCTGTTTTTCACAGACTACCGTGTTAAAAGAGTTTAAGATATTCCTGTCCCCCAAATCTTCATTTTGCTTTTTTAAAGATGATACTCTGAGAAATTTTTCTTCAGCAGTTTTACACATTGGTTTTTGTTCATTTTAGTTTCAGCCTATGGGGACTGTGTGCCGAGAAGCAGTAAATGATTGTGATATTCGTGAATCATGCTCAGGAAACTCAAGCCAGGTAATTTACAGAATAATCACTCTACACCAGATGGGAAAAAGTAGGCGTATTTTCAGTGCACTGACCCCCAGATGACACGGAAATGGACAAGATGCTCGTGTCTCTCTCTCATATAAATTCTTACTCTCCTTTTATTTATTTTTCAGGAATTTAAATTTTAGTCTTCAAAGCTTGAGCAGATGTTCAGCATAATTTTGTCTTCACATTGAACAAAGCCAAGATTGCTTGCATGCCTTTTTTGTTTTAAGTAGAGAGTAAAATTCATTGGCTTTTTATCTATTTAGTGAAGGAGGAAATAACTGTTTTTTTTGTTGTTTGAAGTGGAGAATAAAATTCATTAGCTTCTTGTCTAGTGAAGGAGGAAACAACCAGACTCTTTTCAGCTCTTTGAAACAGAAGTCAGCGAAGGCGAGAGACCCACAGAGCACTGGGTTCTGAAGGAGCCTGTTCCTCTGTCTTGACTCTTGTTTTCCCCGACAGTTTGCATGACCTCAGTTACTAACAGCTGCTCTTGAATTTCATATGATTTAGTTGTAAATAGAGAAGATTCAGAAGTTGATCAACGTTGGCTAGGGTTCCAGGTTTCGCAGGGTCAGTGTATGTACAGATAATGGAGGGTCATGAAAATAACCCTGAGGCCTAGAACCATGCAAAGTCATCTTAGTAGTCAATGGAAGAAACTACAGTTGTTCTGTGATCTTTTAAAAAGGTTGTCAGACTCTTCAAAACTCTCTCACTGTTGATTTTTAAATGAAGATGGAAATGAAAAGTAACTTATTTATTTAGCACACTAAATTAAAACAGAAACATTAAGAATTAAAGTATCTTGTTTCTTTTTTTAAAATGTGTTTTTATTGATTTCAGAGAGGAAGGGAGAGAGAGATAATTAGAAACATCAATGATGAACGAGGAACATCGATCGGCTGCCTCCTGCACACCCCCTGCTGGGGATTGAGCCCGCAATCAGGCATGTGCCCTGACTGGGAATTGAACTGTGACCTCCTGTTTCATAGGTCAATGTTCAACCACTGTGCAACACTGGCCAGGCAGTATTTTATTTCTTTGTAAAAAACTTACCAGGAGTAATGCCACCTTCTTGTAAAGCTGAGGAACATCTTTTCCATACTCCTTTTTAAGTTTAAATCAGCTTTCAACATTTCATCCTTTGAACTTTCAATGTCGTGAACTGTCTCCAAGAGATGTCGATGTGAAGTTTTTTTGCCAAATAGCACTATCAACATTACCATAGTCAGTGATTTTTTCTATAACAACATTTACATTTGATTTTCTTTTTCTTTCTTTCTTACTTTCTTCTTCTTCTTCTTCTTTTTTTTCTGCACTTTTGTCTTTGTTGGTTAGTTTCCTCTTTTGATTATCCAGTTTTGTAAAATGTCACATGCTATCTCCCAAAGACAGAGCAGCAACACAACTACACACCTGGTTGTCTGTGCATGAACTAAATATACAGATGGCAAGTGACCAGTCACTGAGAGGCTTTGAAAGAGTGACAAGTTAGGTCATTCACCTGTTGTTTACCTAGTGATCACTCAACTGAAGAGCTAGTAGTAAAAGCTTGTGCTTTTTGCAATTACTCACAGTTAATATATTATGGTAACTGATATTGGAACTGTGTTGTTGGGGTACTAGTCTTCTTCAACAATCCCGTGATACCTGAAATTCATGCACATTAGAGCCATGTGAAGCTAGGACTGCCTGTGTATTTTTTCCTCTAGAAAAGAGGGATTCAGTGGTTGAAAATTTACTTCCCGCTCACATGACCCTTGTTCATGGTTCTTCCTCTCCTTTGTTTTTATATGGTATATCTACCTTAACCATTAAAAATGCTTTATTTTGCCCTAACCGGTTTGGCTCAGTGGATAGAGCGTCGGCCTGTGGACTGAAGGGTCCCGGGTTCGATTCCGGTCAAGGGCATGTACCTTGGTTGTGGGCACCTCCCCAGTAGGGAGTGTGCAGGAGGCAGCTGATCGATATTTCTCTCTCATCGATGTTTCTAACTCTCTATCCCTCTCCTTTCCTCTTTGTAAAATATCAATAAAATATATTTTAAAAAATGCTTTATTTTAAAGGTGGTCATCCTCAAAGCCATTTTATTATACGTATAACATTGATGAGATGCTACAAGAATGTAAACTCTTATTTATTTCAGTTAGCCTATGGTAAAATTGGTTTCATTTTACATAATTTCTCTTTAAATCACAGAGCCTTTCGAGCCTATTAGTACATTGGTTATATGATGTTAGCTCAATGCAATGTATTATAGTTATTAAAAATGATACCTACAAAAAGTTTATTATGATGAGGAAATTCATAAGTAAAGAAGCATAATATAAAATATTATCTATACTTTAACTATTCCTATGTTTAAAAAATATCAAAACTTGTAGAAAAAGGTAGAGGAAAAAAAATGTAACAAAATGTAAAACATAGCTGCCTTTGAGGGGTGGGGATTTGAGTAACTTTTGTCTTTTATTTTAATTTTGCATTTTTACATTATGTAAACTTTTCTCAAATGAGTATATAATTACTATAATGATAGAAAAAATGTATCATAAATTTAAAAACTCCATAAGAATGCTTTGAAATCTCCTGTACTTACTACAATGTATAAAGGGGGCGTGCCATAAAGCATGTGTTTTTCTAACATGTGCAAAGTGGAGGTCTGCCTGAGAGTCATTTTGAGTGTAAGGGCTGTGTTGCTTCTCACAAAAATGAAGACATAGAGTTATTGCTCCATCCATGCTGGCATCCTCCTTGCTTTTGTTTTATGCTCTTGTTTTTCTTGCTTTGAGGAATAGTGTATCTGTATAGAGCAAGATGCTCCTAAATTTTAGCATCAGCTGAGTCCTTGCTGTCATTTCTTTCTGTTTGCTGCCATGCCGTCCATTGTGTTTGCCGCTGATAGATCAGTACTTCTAGGGGAAAGTGAACCAGTTGTATTTCCTTTTGCTTCCTCTTCTTTGTTTTTATTTTCAGATATTTTAAGACACTGAACATATTTTCCTACTTTATTTTTAAAGTGAAAGCATTAAAGGGATTAGCTCATCCCGATATTTTGTTGCACATTTGGTTCATAGTTCTGTTCTCTTTTCCCAGTGTGCCCCAAATATTCATAAAATGGATGGATATTCATGTGATGGTGTTCAGGTAGGTTAGTTCATTTTTACCTAATTTTTTTTGTGTGTGTGTGTGTACCAGCATGAAAGAAATACTGAAATGTTATCACAATAGGAACATTAATTTAAATGTTTCATAATAAATTCTGAAGATAAAAAGCCTTTATAATACTGTTTGACTAGTTCTCCTGGTTATACTTACCTTTTCAGTTACCTGACATCAGCAGACATTGCATGGCTCATAGGTATGCTTTTCCATTTTAGGGGATTTGCTTTGGAGGAAGATGCAAAACCAGGGATAGACAATGCAAATACATCTGGGGGCAAAGTAAGTAAACAGTGTGGCCCAATCATTTCAAGGTGTGCTGTCAGGCCAAGGGTCATGTGAGCAGGAAGTAAATTTTCAACCACTTTAAGAGTGAGGGATTCTTCAAACCACCACACGTCTTAGCAGGGGCACTTTTGTGGAAATTAGAGAAGGGCACTTCTGAGAAGACACAGCCCTACACATCTTGGGTAGTTGGCAGTGCCTCTGGATGAGACAGATGGTGTCTTCACTGCCAGGCAGGTGAAGTCCTTACCAGGTGTGCAGCTTGGAGAACGGAACAAACGTGGATTTTAGCTCCACATACGCTCTCCACAGCTGAGTGTCCTTAAGCAAAACCTGTACAACCATATGGGATGGACGTGGACCCTGGCTGGGGAGCTGTAGCCTTGGAACTGTAGCATTTTCGTTAGACTTGTTCTTTCTCCCTCAACTACCTTTCTTGACCTCTAGCTGGCTTTTCTACTTACTGGTGACCTGCTGGAGTGGCTCTGCTATATCAGAGAGAAATTTTAATGTTATTCCCTTTAAAGTTTGTCAAATTTTCATAGGGAATTATATATCAATTATATCTAGAACATATTATTGAAATTATATATTTATATTTAAAATATATTTAAATGTATTTTTTCCAGAACGATTATCTGCCCCTTTGAAAGTAGTTTTTTGTTTTAGAGTAGTGGTTCTCAACCTTCTGGCCCTTTAAATACAGTTTCTCATGTTGTGACCCAACCATAAAGTTATTTTCGTTGCTACTTCTTAACTGTAATGTTGCTACTCTTATGAATTGTAATGTAAATATCTGATATTCAGGATGGTCTTAGGCGACCCCTGTGAAAGGGTCGTTCAACCGCCAAAGGGGTCGCGACCCACAGGTTGAGAACCGCTGTTTTAGCGTCTTTCAAAAGACAATTATCATGAAAGATAATGACAACCCTTAGTTGTCACAAACTGGCTACAATCCCTTTGGGAGAGGAAGTGTGTGCTCTCTTTGGAGTAATTAGAGAAACATTGGGATGGGGGAAAATTTAATCATACAGGTTTGAACTCTGAACAAAGAGTTTTGTTTCCTCCTCTTGAGAATAACCAGTAGCTGACAGCATAACATAGAAAAAGAAAGTTGTTGTATCTATCACTGATAGAAAATTCTGTTCTGCTTCAGGGGTGATGGCATCAGACAAATACTGCTATGAGAAACTGAACATTGAAGGGACCGAGAAGGGCAACTGTGGGAGAGACAAAGACACATGGATACAGTGCAACAAACGGTGAGGTGGACAAGTCAGCCCCAAGTTTATCCTTTAGTTAATGACAAACATTATTTTCTAAGCCAGCAGGACTTTTCTGTTTTCTGCATCCCATGAAGCAGTGTGCTGCCTTCCATCTCTTCCCACTGTTCCAGCCTCATCTTTGCAGAAGGCTCCCACATCTTAACATGTATGCTCACCTCTCTCCTAAGGCCTAGGTCATGCCTATAGCTGCCTCAGGACTTTCTCACCTAGAAGATATCTGCCAGCATCTCAAAAGCAAAAAATAAAATAAAATAAAGCCACCAGAATATACATACTAACTTAACTGGTTCTGATTTTCCAAAGGTCTTAATATCTCACTGTCCTTCTGATTAGAAGCCTAGAACGATCCTGGACTCCACCTTCCCTCTGGCACATTGTCCAAATGCAAGTTATGTCCATTCCTCCCTTTTACTCCCCCACCACTTGTCTTTAACTCATCCTTTCATTTCTATTCCTGTAGCATTAAAGACCCCACTAAGACCTACACTAACTCTTCAGCTATTACAAAGGCCTCTAAACAGGTTTTTCTTTATGCCTGCAGTCTCTAACAGGCTGCCCTCAGGATACTCTACTGACTCTTTTTGACCATGTCAACTCTTTGTTCAAATTTCACTGGTTCCACATAGCTAATTACTCGTAAGAATAATATCCAACATGGATTGAATGCGCACTGTGTACTACACATTATATTATTCTTTACATGAGCTATGTCATTTGGTCTTTATGACAGTTCTGATTTTATGGAAGAGGAAACTGAGGCGTAGTTTACTAATTTGACCAAGATCATATAATGAAGATATAATAGCAGCAGAATTGGAATTCAGGCAGTCTGATTTCAGAACTCTATTTTAACTATGTAGAATGTCATACTATTTTGTTTAACGAACACAATGGAAACTTAGCTTGGCATTGTACCTCCTCCACAATTCGCCCCCAAACCTCCATTTGTGTGTGTGTTTTCTTCTCCACTCTTCCAAAGTCTGGCATGCCTTTCATCCCTAATATGTGCACTGTTTTGTGCTAACTCTGTGCCTGTGCTTGTGCTATGCATTCCTCTGGAAGCACTCTTTATACCCACTTCATGACGAGGCAAAAATTTATCCATTCTTCAGAGATCTGCTGGGTCAAAACTTTCTCTATAAATTATTTCTGGATTTCATCTAGAAATAAATAATTTCCCCTTTCTCCTCAGAATTCCCACAGCCCTTTGTACTGTTCTTACGGCCCTTGTCCCCAACTCTATGCTCTATAGTTGTTTGTGTATATGATCTCTTTTTCATCCAGCGTCTAATTTCCTTGAGGATAAAAATCATGTCTAATTTTCTTTATATATCCTAAAGTACTTCGTAAGCTAAAAGACACAGAAAGGACACTAAAAAATGTTGACTGTATTTTTCTATGTTAAGAAGCATTTTTATTTATGACAGGCATTTTAAAAATGATGATATAATGTTTAAACATTATTGTTTAGAAATGAATTAATACATTTTTTCCTGTGTTGGTGATAGATACAAGTCCTAAGTTTTCCCTTTTCTTTGCCTGATAAAGCCTAATATTTTCATATGTGCTCTTAAAGGCCTACTAATCAGTCTTTACAAGATACTGATTAGAATATGGCTTATCATTATCTACATTAATAATTAAAATGTGTTAGATACAGAGATCATGAAAGATAGTATTTAACACCAGTGAAAATATTTTACAAGTTAAATTAGAATTGTATGTGATATTGGAAAAGTAGAGAAATACATTGAGCCTATGTTGTCCAGAATCTATAAAGTGTATGTGTGAGTGTGTGTGTGTGTGTGTGTGTGTGTGTTTGTGTGTGCATGCACACGTATGTAATTTCTTTTTTAATTATGGGGCAACAAGTTGAGGAAAGAGCTGTATTCCAAAAGAATAATCATCCAAAGGTCATTCACTCACTTATTAAATATTTAAAAACGTGTTTTAGCACATCCAGTGACATGTTATAGGGAGAGAGAGTCATATATAAAAGAAGTCTTTTTGATGGGTGATTTCCTTTCTATTAATATTTGAACTAGTGGGCATTAAAGAAAAAGCTAGAGAGTAGTTGAGATTTTGGTGCACCAATAAGAGTTTCAGATTTTTCTAAATCAGAGGGGACATGTCTTAAGTCTGGAATAAACTAATTTGGGCTTATTTTATTTTTCTTGTAACATAAACAAATAGGATAGTTGATGAAAAACAAATGCTAAAATAAGATTATTGTTCTCACTACACATGGTTGTAAAGTAAATACTTGGTATTCTTTTAACACAGGGATGTGCTCTGTGGCTACCTTTTGTGTACCAATATTGGCAATATCCCACGGCTTGGAGAACTCGATGGTGAAATCACATCTACTTTAGTTGTGCAGCAGGGAAGAACATTAAACTGCAGGTAAATATCGCTGATCATTCCATGAGAACATTAGTCATCTCCTGAGAATGCAATTCAGGATTAATTCTGTTTTCAGTTCATATGCATGTTAAGCCAAAAAAGAATCTCACCCATAGAGATGACTGAGTAAATCCGGACAGAAAATAGACAAAAACAAGGTAAGAATTAGGGTTTATTTTGCATTTTATTCTTATGAAGGAAAAAGAATGTGAATTTTGGGGTAAAATCATATGTATGTTCTTTAGCTCTCTTCTGAGATTCCACTAAAATAACACTCAATGATTTTTTAAAAAATTCACATATTCACAGGGAGGCAGAGAAAGGGAGAGGTGACGATAGCAACAACATCTTGGAATGTGGAAAGCAAATGGATGTGTGACAAATGAGTATCAAAATTAAGAAAGCTAATTGGAGAACTAAGCCAATATATATTGTCAAAAAACTTAAAAAAAAAAGGGCAACGCCATTTACTATGGAAGAGGGAATAAAGGATTAAGGGACAGGGAAGGGCTAAATACAATTTATTAAAGAAGCACTAAAAGATTACTTCCCTGACTCAGCTACAGTGGGTATTGCTCATCCCCCCAAGGAAGATATGAGCTTTATATCCTGAGATAGTAAAATAGAAGGTGTCCAGATTGAAGAACAACAGGCAATATTGATATCAAGGTTGTATGAAGTGGTCCAGTTTCACTGATGTTCAGTCAGAAAGCCCTGAAGTTTTCAAACATCTGTCTATTCCCACACCTCAAATATGAGCAGATGATCAGCTATGTGAAGAAAGTCTCTAACATGAAAAAAAAGAAAGAGATAAAAACAACCAACTAGAAAAACAACCACCTATCAATTTTTAGGAGTGATAAGGTACCCCTATCATGAAACAAGAATAGAGTGTTGTTTTTCAAAATGAAGACCATTCAGAGAAGGAAAACATACTATTGGAAATTAAAAATATGATGGCTGAGATTAAACTCAGTAGTTGAAATTATTTTCCAGAAAATAGGGCAAAAGAGGGAAAGAAATTAACATAGAGAAGAGCTCATCAAATTAGAATAGAAATAATAAAGAAATAATAGAGAAAACAGCAGGGAGAAAATTGTCAATGAGTAACTCAAGAGTATTGTCTAGAACTGATGAACTTGAATTTCTTTATTGATGGGCTCACCAAGTGCCAGGTACAATGAGTGAAATTAGAGGTACATTTAAACATATCATCATGAAATTTCAGAACCTTAGGACAAAAAATTTTTTTTCAATGTTTCCAGAGAAGAGGGGGGGAAAAAAAAGATCAGGCATTAGGATCTATAATCAGGAGCCCTGGGAGCCAGAAGACAATAGAGAAAATGTCTTCCAAACTAGAGTTTTGTACCCAGACAAAATATCAATCAAGGGTGAGGATAGAAAATGACTCTTTTATTTATGCAAGTTCCCCCCAAATTTACTCCCTTAAACCTTTTCTCAGAAAGCTACTGGAAATTGTACTGCACCAAAATGAAGGAGTTAGCTAAGAAAGAGAAAGGCAGGGAATTTAGGAATCAAGATCCCCACCTTGAGGGATACCCTCCAGTGAATGGTGACGGGAAATCCAAGATGCGCAGCTGTGCACCAGGTGCAGAGGACAGCCTGATCAGATGGACGCAGAGGAAGTCCAGATGGGAACTCCAGGAGAGAGTCCACAGGAAGATGAAGTGATGTTTAGATGCATCTTGCATGGAGATTTTGACATTTAAAGAACTAAGTTATCTATTTGACTCTTTAAACTCTATGCATCTATAGTTTTCATAAAAACAAATAAAAATAATGGAGCTATTGACATGGTACCATATGGATAAATTGATTATGAACATACATTTTCAATATCTATTATTTTTTTAATTCCTACATTATATGCAGGCTTGCTATATTGAATAGTGAAGGTACAATAGTTAAGCCATTCTCAAATGTAATTTGTAAATATAGCAATCGTTTTGGGAAATGTAAACTAAAATCAATTCTTATTTTGTTCAAAACATGTTTGAAATCTTAAAACTACGTACTTATCAAATCAAATACTAGTAATAATGGCTTATTTGACTTGTACATGATATCCCAGGCCAAATGATAAAGCTATTTAAATTCAAGCATTGTTGTAATAATTATATTGAAATCCTAAAATATGTTAGTATCCCTGAATAGAGTTAGATCAAAAGATTAAATTGCTTTCTCCATTTATCAGAAAAACTCTTATGTTACCATTTTTATTAGATAATAAATAGAAAATAGAGGACATGATATTGCCTACTTTTTAGTGTTTATGCATATTCTCAAAATGAATGTGAATGAATGGAATCCCATTTTCTTCTCTCCATTTATTTTCAGTGGTGGGCATGTTAAGCTTGAAGAAGATGTAGATCTTGGCTATGTGGAAGATGGGACACCTTGTGGTCCCCGAATGATGTGCTTAGAACACAGGTGTCTCCCTGTGGCCTCCTTCAACTTTAGTACTTGCTTAAGCAATAAAGAAGGCATTGTTTGTTCAGGAAATGGAGTGAGTATTCAGTACCTCACCATGGGGAATTACTCATTTCTTTTGTATCAGAAATAGATACGACCCTAAACTGCTTATTTCTGTAATAGTGCAAACCATGCTTGTCCATATTTCTAAGCAGGTATGTAAACAGTTATTTTGTCATAGTCATTTGAATATTTCTGTCGTGTCATCTGCAAAAGCCTGGGAATAAGAAACAGTATAACTTCCTAACCAAATGCTTGCCTCTTCCTTTCTCATTATATTAGTGGGATCTCATTTACTATAATACCAGTTTTCTGCAAGTGATCTAAGAGACAAATTCCAACAAACTATAGTGGGATTAAAAAGGAGTAAAACGCAGGGCAGTGACCACAATATTTAACAACTGGCGTGGCCCAGGCACTGGCTGATTAAGACAGACCATAAGTAACCATAGCCACTCCAGTGTGCATCAGCTGAGGAGAATGCCTAAACTTAAAAACAGAATTTAGGAAAACGTTTCTCACAGACATGTAGAAAGGGTGGCCTTGTTTAAAAGACTAAATTCTGTTCTTTCAGTCATATATCTGTTCATCTACAGAAATGTTTCTAGGTGAAAGAAACATGCTCTATTAGTGATTAAATTTTGTCATTTTCAGTCAGGAATTCCTATACTCATGAAACCTTTTCTGGTTCTTTTTCTTTGGGCATATGCTGTGATTCCCTTCTTACCCTCATTCCAGACTCACTGCTTGAACTGGTGTATTAGCTGGTTGAGGGAAAGGATCTCTATCCTGGAGTTGTAAGCCTGCAGTCCTGGTCATTCCATGCATGTCCCCAGGGATATGCCAAGAATTTCCTTAGGGAGCCCTTACTCTTTTCCAATGGATAGGAATTCTTATTGCACAGGAGACTAGAGAAGGCTTAGATTAAGTAGTTCTGTTTTTTTAAAGGGCTCTGCTAAGTCTTCTTTCCTTAATAAGATGGTGCTAGGGGGAAATACATTTTGGGTGGACAGTCGAAAAGAATAAAGACATTGTTCTTGGTCATTCATACTAATGAATCACCATACCTATTCACCTAGACCCGTGGTCGGCAAACCGCAGCTCACAAGCCACATGCGGCTCTTTGGCCCCTTGAGTGTGGCTCTTCCACAAAATACCACATGCGGGCGCGCACATACAGTGCGATTGAAACTTCGTGGCCCATGCGCAGAAGTTGGTATTTTGTGGAAGAGCAGGTATTTTGTGGAAGAGCCACACTCAAGGGGTCAAAGAGCCACATGTGGCTTGTGAGCCACAGTTTGCTGACCACTGGGTTAGCCAATGATATAAAAGCTTTGTTTTGTTTTGTTTTACAAGACAAAGGCAAGCTTTCCTAAGCTTGGATTTATAGTTATTAAAAAAAGAAAATGGGGGGGTGGGTAGCAGGAAATAAGACACAAGGAAAAATAATCTGGGCAGTAAAAAACTTATTTTAAACCAGAAAAAATAAAAGACAGTGATGAAATGGGGAATCAAACTCAGGCTTTCTGACTCTACACCTAAACCTTTTTCTTCTTGCATATTTGTTAATCTGTAGAAATTTATTTGAGATCTGTAATTTGCTAATCATATTTTTTTTATATTCACCTGAGGATATTTTTTCCATTGATTTTCAGACAGAGTGGAAGGGAGAAAGAAAGGGGGGAGGGAGAGAGAGAGAAACATCAACATGAGAGAGACACATCAATTGGTTGCCCCCTCACAAACCTGGACCAGGGCTGGGGATCGAACCCACAACCCTTTGGTCCTGCAGGCTGACACTCTAACCACTGAACAAAACTGGCCAGGGCTGTTAATCATATTTTACAGTTACATTTAGATGTGGATGAACGTCATCCTCTGGAAAATTAGATCAGACAAAAGACAACTACCCAGTGAAAACCAACTGAAGAATTCTGATCTCAAACCCAGCTGAATTCTCCCCTACTTCCCACTCCATTTAAAATTGCTTTGAATTGTAAGATCTAGGTATAGGTTTGGTCTCCTGGATATATAAATGCAGACAGAATATTATCTGATAATTTTTAAAAATGTGGTGCCATTTTTATGTGAATTTCCCCCCTGTGCTTTGTTTGAGGGAGCTCTTCTTCTCCATGACCATGAGGTAGCTCATCTCTGTAGCTTGTGTTGAGGTGCCAAGGTTATGGCTTTGTACAGCTTTCTTCTCAGACCACTGCAAAGCATCAGGCTTCCCCTCTTCTTTGTCAGGTTTCTCTTGATCTTATCTGCTTCCTAAAAGATGAATAGTTTCATTATAAAGATTCTTTGGAAGAAAGAAACCTTTGTATTGGATAATTAGACAATGATCTTATTTCTGCTTAGTTTTTAAAATCTCCCTTTTATAAAATTTAAGTTAATGAAATTCAAAACAAGAACTTCATTGATTTTTTTAGAGCTATACATTTATTTCTCTGTTAACATATATTATTCCCTGTGGGTCAACCGTTGATCTCTTGAAAATATTTTTTAGGTACATGGGTAAGAAATAAGTAATTAGCATTAGGAAGAAAGTACTGATCATTTTTCAGTCCCATAAAATTCTGGGCATATAGTAATTAGAAATTAATGCTTATTTTTCATGCCTCTGCACCCGAGAGCTGACTCTCCCTCTGGATTGATTTTGGGTTTCAGGTTTGCAGTAATGAGCTGAAGTGTGTGTGTAACAGGCACTGGACCGGTGCTGACTGCAGCACTTACTTCCCTCTCAACGATGAGGAAAAGACTGGTATAACTCTGTCTGGCAACGGTAGGTCCTGAACTTGGTACCATTATATAGCTTTTATACACAAGGAAGGAGAACACTGCCCTCCAGATAGTTTCATTTGGATTATTGTTATAACTCAAATATCAATTAAATCCAGACAATAATTAATTATAATATGTAGCTAGCTAGGCCCACATTGTGAAACTGATCATTTCCATTAACTTGTAATAATATGTTGTATTGAATTTAGCGTTTTTTTTCTCTGACATCAGACTGAGATTTCTTTTTCAAGTTTTGTACAGTGCTTGTTTGGGGGATGACAACAAACCTTAGCATGTTTTTTTATTAAGAAAGTAGTCATGTGCTCACTTGGGCAGCACATATACTAAAATTGGAACGATACAGAGAAGATTAGCATGGCCCCTGCACAAGGATGACATGCAAATTTGTGAAGCGTTCCATATTAAAAAAAAAAAAAAGAGAAAGAAAGAAAAAAAGAAAGTAGTCATACTTAACTGTCTGAATTTAAAGGAAGAATTTTATATTTTGGGACTGAATCAATAAGAAAAGAAATAGAATTGATTTTTAAAATTTTTGTTGACTTTAAAAAATTTATCTTTATTGTTAAAGGTATTACAGATGTCCAAATTTTGGTTGACTTTAATATTTTTTTTTTATTATAGACTAGAGGCCCAGTGCACAAAAATGTGTGCACTTGGGGGGGGGGGTCCCTCAGCCTGGCCTGTGCCCTCTCGCAGTCTG